CGTTGCACGACGGGCTATGCTATGGACCAGATTGATGACAGTATGAGACCTGGTGATATTTCCTTGTTAGGTAGAGATATTAGAAGCAGGAACAATAGGAAATTTATCATCAGGATCCCAGTTTGATGAGAAGAATGATCGCGGAGTCCCCTCGAGATCCTTCTACGGAAATGTATCTAGTCCCCCCAATCGGGTAGTGGTATGATTCATAGAGGAGATGTAGAGAACCTGGTAGGATCTGTAAGCGCGAGTCACGTGAGACATATCGCGCCTGAGGCAGCCCGGCATACGTTCTGTGGCTCTCAGCCTTGTTCCTGGCGGGTGTAGATTCCTTTCACACAATGGCGTTACCTGACAATATTGCAAGGAGGTGTTTGCTTACCAATACCTACCTCTATCTTGGATTCTGCCCAGAAACTTGAAGAAGCTGGAAGTTGTAAGCTTGTAGATGACTAGCGCGGTGGATCCACAGAATACGGACATTTGTGGAACCAGCAAACCTAACAAACAGCATAAAATATGGAGAAAGTGAGACAGACAAACAGTGCAAAACAGGTGCAAACTCACCAACGTCATCCATCTCGTCTCTTGTCTCCACCGGGATTGCAGCTATGGCAGCTTGCGCGCTTATGGTTGGATTGTTAAACGACGCGACTCCCAATTCTACAGCAGGATCGTTACTGCTCAGGGTAAATATTTCCGTTTGCATGAGTCACTTGCAATGGTGTCCCGGTTGAGTCGGGTTTTCACCGAGCACGACGGAGAAACAAGGCGTTGTTGAGAGAGTGATGAGAAGTTTGAGAAGTCGCGAGTGCAAAAGGCATCAAAATTATGGATACAGGAATCAGGCGGGCTAACTTGATAGTGATTTGTGTTTGTGACTTGCATTAAGACTTGCATGGATGGTATACGCTCAGGTACAGGCTATTCCTGCAGAGTGGGATGGCCGACGTCATCACACCACTCGGACTCCGTACCTTACCTCGCATCTGATAATCCAATTCGCGATCTTCGGTTCTGGCGGCTCCTTGGTATTATTTCTCTCTTGTTGAGTGAGAAGAGGATGCCTACCTAGTGCGGGGTGTTTGCATCAAAATAGCTCAGTTTTTCATTTGTTAGCTTGAAGTGTATTATTCAGGGACGGCCTATCGTGTTCCATGCAACAAACATGATGATGATGATGCTGGATCTGGCGATGCTTACCCCTACATCCGGGCAGGAGCTCGAGGTCTGGCCCATAGAGCTGCCCTTTCTACCTCATCCCGACTAATCACCATGCTGCATCATATTCTACTATTAGTAGTAGTCCTGTTCCTGGAGAATGTTCCGTCCAATTCCCCCCCCATTTATTTCTTTTTTGCATCTGATCCAGCAGCTCAGCTCTGTCATTTAAACTAGTGCATTCCCCTCCAGTACCCCTCACTCATTTCTTTTGTCGAAACAAGGGCCGAAATCTCCCTATATCAACCTGATTTTTTCTTCGTTCTTTACTCCGAGAACATACTGCTCGCCTTTCCTTTTCCTCCTGTTGTCCCTTGAAGTTTAAAAAGTATAGTCAGAATGTCCCCGTTGCCGTGCCCTTCGAAAAATGTCGAGATCGTCGATATACATCAAAATGACGTGGAATTCTCGCTCGTGAACGAGATTCGCAAGGGTCTCAACCCTCCCGAGGGTACTCCAAAATCATTGCCCACCATGCTGCTCTACGACGCTCAAGGGCTTAAGCTCTTCGAAGAAATCACCTACGTGGATGAGTACTACCTGACCAACGCGGAAATCGAAGTGTTGCAGAACCACTCCAAGAAAATTGTGGAACGCGTTCCCGAGAACGCACAATTATTGGAGCTGGGTAGTGGGTATGATTTGTTCCGAAGAATGCTCCGAGGGTTCTGTATCTAATCACCTGTGCAGGAACCTTCGTAAGATAAAGATCCTTCTTCAAGAGTTCGAGCGGACAGGAAAGCACGTCGACTACTATGCCTTGGATCTATCCCTGTCAGAGCTACAGCGCACCTTTGCCGAGGTATCATCTGACGAGTACTCTCACGTTGATCTCCACGGTCTTCACGGGACCTATGATGATGCCCTTGCCTGGCTGAGCAATCCCCAGAACCTACAGCGTCCCACTGTGGTTATGTCCATGGGATCATCAATGGGGAATTTCAGTCGTGAAGGTGCAGCAGAGTTTCTTGCCCAGTTTGCTCGGCTGCTCAAGCCATCTGATCTGATGATCATTGGGCTAGATGCTTGTACGGACCCGGAAAAGGTCTACAAGGCATACAACGATTCAAAGGGCATTACTCAGAGGTTCTACGAGAATGGTCTATTACATGCGAATGCAATCCTTGGATACGAGGCATTCAAGCTTTCGGAATGGGAGGTGGTGACAGACTACGACGTTGCCGGGGGTCGACATCGAGCATTCTACTCACCGAAGCAGGATGTTACGATCGATGGCGTGCTTCTGCAAAAAGGCGAGAGATTGGTTTTTGAAGAGGCAACCAAGTATAGCCCTCAACAACGGGAACAACTCTGGCGGGATGCGAACCTCGTCCTTTATGATGAGCTTGGAAATAGCTCTGAAGAATACCGTAAGTTAGTCCTTGCCTCCCGCAGCGCTGTGAGCAGAGATTATGGCAGAAGCGTCGACTAATGAACTACCATTCACTGACAGATATCCATCTGCTGTCACCGCCAACCCTCAGCCTTCCTAGCCAACCGTCCGAATATGCCGTCAATCCAGTTCCGAGCTTCAAAGAATTCCAGTCATTGTGGACCGCTTGGGACACTGTTACAAAGGCCATGGTGCCCCGCGAAGAACTCCTCGCGAAACCTATCAAGCTTCGCAATGCATTGATCTTCTACTTTGGACACATCCCCACATTCATGGGTCTGTATTCCAGAACCTTTTATTCAATGCCGTGAGCATGATACTGATGCTCTGTTAGATATCCACTTGACACGGGCTCTTGGTGGCTCTCCGACAGAACCACGAAACTATCGACAGATTTTCGAGCGTGGGATTGACCCCGACGTAGACAATCCTGAGCACTGCCACTCTCATAGTGAAATTCCAGATGAATGGCCTCCCCTTGCTGAGATTCTGGATTACCAGGACAGAGTCAGAGGTAGGGTTGAATCGGTTTTGCAGAGGGATGACATAACGCAGAACCGCTGCCTTGGAGAAGCACTCTGGATTGGCTTCGAGCATGAAGCAATGCACCTGGAGACCTTCCTCTATATGCTTTTGCAGAGTGACAAGACTCTCCCACCGCCCCTTGCAGACAGACCAGATTTTGAGAAGTTGTTCCATCAGGCCAGAGCGAACGCGAAACCAAATGAATGGTTTGCTATACCCGAACAGACATTATCCATCGGCCTTGACGATACTGACGAACGATCTTTGCCTGATGTGTCTTTTGGATGGGACAATGAGAAGCCTCAGCGAACGATCACAGTTCGTGCGTTCGAAGCACAGGCTCGTGCTATAACAAACGGCGAATATGCCAAATATCTGCAAGCGACTCGTCAGCGCCGGCGGCCAGAGTCGTGGGTCCTAACTCATTCGGACGAGAATTATCCAATCTCCAAGGGGGTGACTCTGGAGAGCAGCCAAGCCACGAAGGATTTCATGGACAATTTCGCTGTCCGCACCGTATTTGGACCTGTTCCGCTTGAATTCGCGCAGGATTGGCCTGTTATGGCTTCCTATGACGAACTGTCCCTATACGCCGAATGGGTGGGCTGCAGACTTCCCACTTATGAGGAGGTCAAGAGTATCTACAACTACTCCGCTCAGCTGAAGGAGGCAAGACAACATGAGCCATCAGATCATGAGAGGTTCGTATATTCCACTAAGTGTTTGAATTTAGCTTCGTCTGACAGAAGGCAGCAACGGTGTCAACGGTGTCAACGGCACTAACGGTGATATTGTGACGAACGGGCACTCGAAGGTTCACCAGGACAAGCCCCGGACCTCAGAACACCAGCCAGTCCAACCTCCTTCCCAAAGCACAATGCCAGTATTTGTTGACCTCCACGGTTGCAACGTTGGGTTCAAGCACTGGCACCCTACCCCGGTCATCCAGAACGGCGATCGACTTGCCGGTCAGGGTGAGTTGGGAGGAGTCTGGGAATGGACCAGCACGCCATTGACGCCACATGATGGCTTCAAGGTCATGGATATTTATCCAGGTTATACAGGTAAGCTGTTGACCTGCTCGGCGGATTTCTATAAACTCAACTAACCGGCGATAGCGGACTTCTTTGACGGAAAGCACAACATTGTCCTGGGTGGTTCATGGGCCACGCATCCCAGAATCGCGGGACGGACAACATTGTAAGTTATCACCTGTCATGTCGACCTGAATATGCACTAACTGTCTCAAGTGTCAACTGGTATCAACACAACTATCCTTACACTTGGGCGGGAGCACGTCTCGTGCGCAACCAGTAGGATAGACGTGTCGTCTAGAATTTTGTATAGAGATGATCCATGGAAAGCAATTGGATGCTATTCTTTGGTACCACTGAAGACCATCAAGCTACAACCCTACCAGAACCTCTTTGGAGGGTCCGTTTACGAGTAACGTTTGCGAGTGGCGTAGTTGAAATGCTATTGTGGCATAGTGTATGCGATGTCGCAATAAGCTGATCGAAGTAGTGAACATGTCTATTCCTCTTCCTCCTAGGATCTAAATTCTATCTCCAGGTACCTTAACGTACCCTGACCATAACAACGCCACCCGGATATGTTTCGGACCATTGAGGACGGGGAATATAGATATCAGTCCCCTTTCGGCGGAGACTATACAAAAAATAGTGGACCCCGCCACCAGCGGGGAGCTCCACCTGATAACGTGACAAGACACCCCTCCAGCATAGATAACACTCGCAGAGACCCCTCGGTATATGACCTATTTCCTCTCCCCCCCCCCCCCCCCCCCACTGCTCTCCCTCCGACCTGTACAAACGAATTACCATAATCTGACTGAGACAATATGTCCGCAGAAACAATCACAACTATCTCCCCCTCCACCAACCGCCCGATTCTCACCCGTACCGGCATCTCCACCGATGAAATCAAGCGCATCCCCGACCTCGCGCAGGAGGCATTCCGCTCCTTCTCGCAGTCCACGACCCTCGCGCAGCGACAGCAGATCGTCGACCGGGCACTATCCATCCTCGAGAAGAGGAAGGATGAGCTTGCGCACCAGTTGACGGAGCAGATGGGGCGGCCGATTTCGTACACGGGTGTTGAGATCTCGACGGCTGTGAAGCGCAGTCAGTACTTGAATCGGATTGCGCCGTCGGTGCTGGGTGAGGAGGGGGTTGTGCCTGGGGAGGAGGAGAAGGGGTTCAAGAGGTTTATTAAGCGGAAGCCGGTGGGGGTTGTGCTGATTATATTTGCGTGGAATGTATGTTTCCGGTTTTCAAGTGCGGTTGGTTGTTTGAGATGAGGGTCGTTTTACTGACGATGATTTGTATAGTATCCCTACCTGGTTCTGGTTAACAGCTTGATTCCGGCGATTCTGGCGGGCAATGCTGTTATTTTGAAGCCGTCGCCTCAGACGCCCACGGTCGTGGAGGAGGTTGCTGCTGCGTTCGCTGAGGCTGGTCTTCCAGAGAATGTGCTCCAGTATTTCCACTGCGGGGCGCCGGAGGTGCTTGAGAAGCTTGTTCGGTCGCCTCAGGTTAACCATATCTGCTTCACTGGGTCTGTGGCTGGTGGGTTGGCTGTTCAGAAGGCCGCGTCGGATCGCATTGTCAGTGTTGGGCTCGAGCTGGGTGGCAAGGATCCGGCTTATGTGCGGGACGATGTGGATGTGGCGTGGGCGGCGGAGGAGATTGTTGATGGGGCAATCTTCAACAGTGGTCAGAGCTGCTGCGCGATTGAGCGGGTGTACGTCCACAAGAACATCTACGAGACGTTCGTCGCCGAAGTGAAGAAGGTGTTGAGCAAGTATTGTGTTGGGGATCCGTCGGAGAAGACTACGCAGATTGGGCCCGTCATCTCGAAGCGCGCGAAGGAGACGATTTTGGCGCATATCGCTGAGGCGGTCGAGAAGGGCGCTCGGGACGAGACCCCTGCCAACGAGACGTTCGACAATCTTCCTGCCGATGGTAATTACGTCAAGCCCACATTGCTGACGGGCGTCAATCACAATATGCGTGTCATGACGGAGGAGACTTTTGGCCCTGTGCTTCCCGTGATGAAGGTCGAGAGCGACGAGGAGGCAGTCAAGCTCATGAACGACAGCGAGTTCGGACTCACTGCAAGCATCTGGACGAAGGATGTCCCTAGGGCTGAGGATCTCATTGAGCAAGTCGAGGCGGGAACAGTCTTCATCAACAGATCTGACTACCCTAGTCCGGTAAGTAGCGCACGCTCTCTGGTTCATGTTCCACCGAAGATGACGATTGACATGTCTGTAGGATCTTGCATGGACCGGTTGGAAGAACTCAGGTCGTGGTGTCACGCTGAGCAGGTTCGGGTTCGAGCAATTCGTCAAGCTCAAGAGCTATCATGTCAAGGATTATCCGAAATAGATAACTCATACATGACTTGTTATCCTTTGACAGCCATTAGCATCGAAATACCAAGAGTCAGGCCCTATTGGCGAACTATTTAGATAGACTCAGGTAGCAGTAATATCACTGGACACTCTCAGTCGACGGACAAGAATTTGAGGAATGGTTATTCAAGATCTCGACCCTCACGAGGCACGCCCGTCTCTTATCTCCTGTCACAGGGCGGCTGAGGATTGCGCGCCAACGACAAAGGTCATGCCGATTCGCACCAGATAGACCTCTTAAATGCTGCAGCTAAGCCAAATGTAGTTTATTTCAATTCCCACGATGGTTAGGATACTGCCGAAGGTGCAGGAATTTGAGCTAGCGATGGCCAGAAGCGTAGTGAAGTGCCAGTCAGCTGCTGCATTCAGGACAATTATCGACCTCCCATTGATTGCCGCCATAACCGGCATGATAGAGCGAGAAAGCAAAGGGCATATCTACTCCAATCTCCCTTGACCTCGAAGGAATTTTGCACATGCCAAGGGATGATTCGACGCTTCAGTTTCGAGACCTTCCCTTTACAGTTTCGAGACAGACGGATCCCTCGCCCACCGGCCAATCGAAAGGAAGATTAAACCAAATTGCAGTCAATCAGACATGGGAATTCATCGACCAGACGGGGCGACAGGAATGTCAATACTGAGGAGGGGCCCGCTGCTGTCGCATAGTTGCTGAAGCAAGGGATATGCACATTCGTAGGCACAATCCTCGTTCCCCCTTCTGGATCGCGCAGCGCCCATAGAGCATACGACCGTACACGAGAGAAGGAGGTTAGGAGCCCAGTGGTGCTGTGCTGTCTTCGGCCCAATTTTGAACTTGGCCGACCCTCATACACGTCGCGTGTGGAGGCGGAAAATGGACTGACGTAGGAATGTTGATCGCGATAACGACAATAGTTACGAGCGATGGAACACTGTTTAATGCAGCTCCCTGGATGATCGAAACCTTCATACTGCCACGAGCGCGCCTATGAGGAGCGCAATACTACTGAAACACAGAACAGACAAGTCGACCTTTTCAAAGTAGAGGAAAGGTATCAGGCAAATTGCCTTTGGCTGTTATCGCTATGGGCTATTTTTATCAGCGTAAGATGTGATGGCACATTCTGTGCACGTCAAATGGTGCATATGCATACTGCCGCTTTCCGAGACATCTGGGACGTTGGACTGGAACAGGTCGATTTAAGCCACTGGAGTTAGGAATAAAGGCCCAGCAAATCGGTAACCGATTTAGACAAAGCGAGTCACAACTGCGTACCCAGGAATCTAGGCGCAGGGGGGCTTGCTGCACGTATCCAGTCCATGTACCAGACGCGGAAGTCTGTTGCTGTAGAAGTGTTATCGACACACTTTCAAGGAGCCGATGACAGCGGTGTAAGTATGCAAGGCCTGACAATTTTGTTGCCCTGCATTTTCATCGAAATTCGACGAAGATCGAATGAGGAAGAGTTCGTCAAGAAGGGCCCAAGAACTCCCCGGCAGAAAATTCCACGGTTTCGTCGAGGCCGTCTTATTGGGACAAGTCACCTAGGTAAAACCCGCAAATGCAGCACTGCTGCGAGGGGACAGCTGCCAAAGGAATGTGTGACAGCGCGCTTCACAAACTTTTCCCTCGAAACTATCGCAATGCTCGTCGTTCCACAGAGACTACTGATCAGCTTAGCCTACATTGCAGCAGGCGGAAACCGTCAAACAAGGCCATACTGTAGGCTGCAGCTCCTTAGAGGACATTCACTATATATGAATGTACCCATGTCCATGTCAAAATCAACTTTCTGACTCCAATCCATAGCCTTGACGTCATAGAGCATCGACCAGTCCTTCATTTATCGTGAATTTTTGTATTGTTTCAAGCGTTTCAGTCGAAAGTCCATCGTTTGGTATAACGTCGTTCGTTCAAAGCAGCCTGCGAAAGTGCCCTCTTGCCGCTAGTTTTCGCATCATTTCTGATCTTCGCGTCGCGAAAGTTATTGCATATATCGGTCAACCGGATTTCAACACTCATTTTCCATTTCTTTCCCATCAATTGTATTACCAACTTGTCCCAACTATGGAGTGCTTCAGACAGATCCTCCGATTCGTGAAATCACCATTTCAGAAGAAGACACATAGGGTCTTGGAGATAGTAAGTCCAAAGCCCTCAGCATTCCTCGAGCGAAATTCTGACATTGTCCGCAGGGCCCACCAACGAACTTCCGCAAAGAAGAGCTGCCAAACTTCTTCCCGGACGATGAGTTAGTTCCATTGCTAAATCATAATATTGAAACTAGTTCTGACGATTTTTCTACCCAGCGCACTGACATTGCATAGTCATGGCTCGGCACTAGAGAAGGACACAGTCAAGGGAGTTCAGCGACAGCCGTCCACACGGGACAAGATCAAGGAGCATGTCCGGAGGCTGAGCATTAAACTCGTGGGCCCGTCTTCTTGCCATGAGTGATGATTTCGCTTTGACAAAGATGTTGAATCCGACTTCGGATCGTTGGACATTTCGAAGCATGTCGCCAATGGATATCTCTAGGAGATTGGGGATTGTCGCTGTTCTATGTTCAAAACAAAAATGTCGGAACTTCATTGAGACGGGATTTTTTCGAATTTACACCACTTTCGTTCGGATCCTTTGTATTATTAGCTGTGTGAGATTTGAGCCGGCCATGTGCCGAAGGGTTTGGATTTGACGGCTCTGGTAGCTCGTCAAAGTCATCGAAGAATACTTTTCTTCTCGATCTACCCAACGGTGGAGTCCTGTGAATAATGCGGACGGGTCTTTTTCCTTTATCATCATTGGCAGCATACTGAGGAGTAGAAGAACTGGTCCTTAAGACCGGTGAGTTGGCATCTGATCCAATAGAATGTTTCTTTTCTGTCGGTCTTGTGGAAGTCTTGGTGATCTGTACGTCCAAGTCGTCATCCTCCGTAGCAGTTGCACCCGCCGCATGATCGTCTGCTTCAATTTCAGCCTTCAGTGAAGAACGGGTATGCGCATCAGGATTCGTCTTCTGCCTTTTCGACCCAGACGCCTGGGCGAACCCAGCAGCCGCCCTAGTGGACGATTTAACACCTTGCATGCCCACTAGCGAGCGAGCCTTCCGTGGGCTCGTCATAAGGTACCCTAGCGAGGTACCAGCAAGCCCATCGTCTTCATCTGTATCGTCTTCCTCCTTATCAGAGTCCAGCTGCGGCCGCTTACCGCCCATTTTCTCCAGGCCTGCCCTTTGACGGGCTGAGAGGGCGGCCGCCGCGTCCTTCCTCTTCGTCTCTTCGCTTCTCGGCGTGACACCATCAGTAGGTCGGGCAAGGTCTTTAATTGCTGCTGCGTTTTGGAGTTTTGCCTCCTTGCGTTTGACGTATTCCGCATAGTGGAGGTGCTTGGTGAACGTCTGCGCCATGGCGTAGAACTCGTCTTCGACCATCATGTAAATATCATCTTTATCGAACCCTTCAATCAAATATCTATGGTTGGTATATCAGTAAAGCTCCGCGGGTCCCCGTGCTGATCTGCAGTGCGTACTCTTCTGACGGACATCGCTGGATCGAAGACGTTGGAGGACTCGGCGCTGCGTAGATCTTATCAGAGAGGACCTGTACACCCCCAGAATCTCCTTCTACTTACAAGACCGAAAAAAATCTCGTTTCTCTTTGCGAGACGTAGACTTGGATGCCTTCGGAGTCTCCTCAGCGCTGTGGTCCGAACCTTTCTCGTGCTTCGCTTCACGTCGACGCGGTGAACTCTTTGCGTCCTCGGCTTTGGTACCACTGCCTATAAGCCATGGAAGAGTTCGAGGCATGTTGAACTGTATTCTTTCAAAATTTCGGCTGAGGCGAAACGCGACATCACTGAGCTTCTATCGTTGTGTTGTCAGGTCTTCAATGTTGAGATCTGACTATAATTTATCTCCGCAATCGATGAACGAGCGAGCGCGGGAGGCGTTCCGCCCCGCTCTCCGCAATGGTATTTAGTCTACCTAGCAAGTAGCTGGAAACTGTGGGCCAACTCAACTTTCACTCATCGCAAAATAAGAAAGGTAGATGGATCAGGGTATCTTGATTTGATATGACTATTGAGGTATTCGTGATGTGAAATCTAGTTCTTGCCCAACGCCGATAGGATAACACCCGAAAGATGAAGAAAACCATGTGCCCAGCCAAATCAAATGGTGACATCGTGTACAGGAAAACGCCTGGTGAATAAAATAGCCCAGCAAAACGCCATGAGTAAATCCATAAGGTGTTTACGCCTCTCCAGGGCGCTTGCTATTGCAGCTCACAATCTTCACCTTATCTGCCGTCACTGTCGTCTGGTTGTCCAGCTTGAACGTAACGTCTTTAATAAGGAAGGTCCAGACTTCGTCGCAGAATCGATAGGTATCCAGGTGACCCTACAGTCCAAGAAAGGGCAAGTCAGTCACCGTCAATGTTCTCATAAGAGCAGTCCTATTCCCAGTTTCCCAGATCGGTCAGGCAGATTGTAGACGGAAGAAGCTACCTTGAACGTAAGCCTTGCGCGCACTTTATCCGCGAGCACTTCTGTAATAACACGATCAAATGTGGAGAGAATCTTCATGGCGAGCTGGGGCTCAATCCGGCCTTCGTTGATCAAGTCATCGAGCGTATCGGTAAGGGAGAGACCGAGACTGGGTAAAATGGTTAGTGAAAAGCAACACAGCTTTTGCTGAGCGTCTAGTACCTGCTCCCGCGATACAACTCATAGTATGCCTGGGCACTCATGTTGTCATTTAAATGTGAGCGATCAAGTCAGGGGATGGCGAAAAGATGAATCAGTAAGAGTCAGGCTGGGCCGGTTGAAGCGTATCGCGGGGACAACCATCACGTGATAATTTAATTCGCAATGTCATGTGATATTGACATCACTACGGAGTTTTGATGATTACATCAGTGTCAACAGAATAACACCCCAGAAAGGTACAAAACTTGGAATATCTACTTCTTCTGATGGAGCTGAATCTCAAAATTCTTTTGCTTGACACATGAGCATCATGAATGTACAACAAATATCGTGCATGGCAGGACGCCTGCCTGTGCGTACATCACGCCTCTGCTCTGGAAAGCGGCTCTTATCCTACACGACGCAAAAGTCGTCCAAGTCAGATGCTAAAACTGGTTCGTGCATGATGTACCCCATGCGATGATCGTCTCTCATTGCTAAAGTCCCTCGAAGTTCAGACCCCGTCCGAGGATCCATCGAAGGTCCGCGACGGCAGCCAGGAATCAAAACCCAAAGTGACCAAAAGTGTTGCTCAAGCGGACGAGGAGCTTCGTGAACGCCTCGAACAGATGTCTGGTGAGGGTGGGGCCTCTGGTATCGAATATGAGGATGGCAAACCAACCGCCATGAAACGGAGTGTTCGCAATAACATGTTTCGCTACATCTGAGCGAGCAACCTGGCTATGTCCACGAATTTCTGACCTGGCGTGCATGGGCATAGGGGCGAGAGTCGGATATGCGCCATATAGCATCGTATTCACTTAGGCTGTTGTGAGTGAAATATGCTTTGCGGCGTATCCACCAGTTGTTTAAACTGAGATGGATTGCAGTCATACGCCGCCGGGCCTTCCCTTCGCTTGCAGTTACTCCATATCGGCTTATGCATCGTCAGAGATAATCTGATCTATTGCGTTATCCCGGTCTCGCGAAGACTATCCACAGTGACCATGTCCTCAGACTCGGTATCACATCTGGATGGATGATGAAGGAGGACATCCTGCGGAGCTGGTTTGAGAAGATCGAGGAAGAACCGTCTTTGAAGTTGATTACCAAAAAATAAGATTGTGCATACAGAAACGGTCATAATACAGACCTCTGGAGACCGGCATTCAAAGCTGGGAATGAAAATTCAAAAAGTCCAATTACTCAGCTTTAAAAGGATGGAGCAAATAATTCACTCTAAGACCTGTTGAACAGAGGACAGAAAAGAAACACCAAAATCCCTCTATCTCGGAAAACAGAGAAAACCGAGGCTCCTGCAGATAGCGCCAGTTCGAGAATAGATTCAGACCGCATGATAATCATAATCTCTCGTTAAAATTTCATTTGGAACGTTCACTGGAGAACCAGGCATTTCTAACCGTTGTTCACCATTCCAGCAAGCACGCCAGCACCGATGACTCCTCCATCTGAAGCTTCTCGCAGAAATACTGATTTACCGCTCTTCTGGGGACCCGTTCTCATGATCAGTCGATCAATGTATTGCTGACACGTCTCCTTGAAATTGGGATAGTGTTGGATTATCCCGCCAGTGTAAGCAACAACAAGCTCTTCAGGGCCCGACTGCCAATCTGCAGGTGTCTGTGTAGGCAGTAGAACTGGAACAATCGGCCTTTGACCATTCCTAGCAGCGCCTGCCTCCAAGGACGAGGATGTAGTCTCGTTCAAAATGGCCTGCAGTTTAGCGCTACCGTTGCGCTGAGGCGATGCGGCAGTTGAACTTTGCGGTGAGTTCTCATTGCTATCCACCTTCAACTCAATCTCTTCTGCGCAGGCGAGTAATCCAACCACTGCCGCAGCTATTAACCCAGCAGATCGACTCTGTACAACTCGAGCGATCTTCCGAAAAGCGCCCGCAGTCAAAGCATCCCAGCACCATTCGCTACTCTCGGGTGGAGGTAACGATTGGTTCAGTTCCGCAGCGAGATCTTCGTCACGTTGTGGGCGAGCGACTTTGTCTGAGACGTACGATGTGGTCAGGGCATATTCCTGGACGAGCGTTGCGGGAAGCTGTTTCTTCTCCAGTCCAACAATGTTCGTAAGGTAGTCAAAGAGTATCAGCCGAATAAGTTCTCCGATGTACCGTCCGCCGGTCATGTACTCGAAGGGCTGAAACCCAGGACGTGCACATGCTTTGTCTAGCTCTTCGTCCCACTTGGTTATGATATTGAGCTCTTTCAAAGGAGGGGCGGCGCCCGAAATGGTCCATTCAGTGTTGACAATTGTTTCTTTTGCTTCCGGGTTCTTTGACTTGACATGTTCCGCTTTAGATTCATGTAGAGACTCAAGCTTCATGGGAATAGTGGCGTTGCAGCCCGTGCCTACAATGATACCCATTGCGACACGACTGTTGGGCAGGGACTTGACGGAGTAAGCTAGAGATGCAAGCGTAGCGACGGCATCATTTGTGATAGCGGCGATCTTCAGTTTAGGTAGTGCAAAGAGTTTCCGGCGCTTGCTCGAGGGCTCGTCCTCGTCAGGACGTCTGGTGTGCTTCTCGTAACCATGAAGCAGGATGTTGCGAAGATTGAGATCCGAGGTGATAGCGAACCCTTTGCCCATCGGCATCAACGTGGCTTCCGCGAGCGATTCTTGCCTGTATGACTTTGTCAGTCAAACGGAATTGCACCAGAGTCACCCGAGAGAGGATAATAACAGGTCACGACTTTTCATGGCAAGGATACTCACATGATAGGAAAACTGAACGTAATTCCCATGTCTAATTCTTGGGGAATGTTGCCCTTCGTGGCGTCCGATGTCAAGCTTTCGGCGACCACTTCCGCTATACAGTCCCCAATCCATGCGAAGAGGTCCTCCGCCTTATCCATCTTCAAATGTTCCTGTATGGGCCATGCTTTCTCTAGTGTCCGTTTGACTCGTTGTCTCTGCGCCTTTCGAAGGGTATCCCTTGATCTTTCCGATGCGTCTGTTGAACGGATATAGGAGTCGGCCGCTTCCCCCAACAGTTCAATGAATGCGACTCGCAGATTGCTTCCTCCAACATCAATAGCCAGATAACGACCGGTCTCAAGACCCGTGGGCAGTCTAGTGACGGGAGTGGGCAAAAACTGCTGGTCAGAGTGTAATGCTAGGTGGCGGTATGTGCTCGAGAAGCGACGCGCAAGTCTGTAGAGGACTGCTTCGTCAAGGACCAAAGGCGACAGAAAATCATCAAGCCTACGTTGGTACTCTAGGTACTCTTTCTGTGAAGGATCAAGCTCGGACACATTTTCTTCCTCATCCTCTTCGACGTCGATTACGTCTTCATGTATATCATGGTCCTCATCCCTGCTGTTCTCCGCCTGTATCACATTCATCGGTGCCATTGTAAATCTCCTGGATGTGTGAGAATGCGAAATGACCCGATCAAGTGGAATGCATGAAATCCGAAAAGGTCATTCGAGTAGACTCATAGGATGCGAATGTATGTATTCAAGTTTATGCCATGCACAGCGCGCGCATGTCTCAATGGCAGGGACAGGTTTTGTTGATTTCGCTCCCTTGGATTGCCACAGGTCGATCAAACGAGGAGCTTGAGCTGAAAACAAGATTGAGGGCTTGATCGTCAAGGCGCATGAATCTGAACGGGTCCTTCGAAGCTGTTATTGCGGAGAAGGGGAAGCTCCGGTGCGAGGGCGAAGGATCAAGGGAGTAAGTTGTCGAGCAAGATCTGTATCTCTAAAATGGGAATCAGTGAGCCACAAGTTGCGAGGACTGCCTAAATCCGAAGAACATCATGAAGTGCCAATGACAGCAAGGATCTGCGGGAACCGCAGGAATAATGGCAAGGGCAGTGGCCACAGAGCAGGATAGTCATTGCGCGCAAAAAAAGAAAACTATTGGCACAAACAAGGACGGGGGAAATTAAATTACCTATCCTCAATAATACCTTAGATGTGGACGTGATCAACACTGATTCTCCACAGTTGAGGCAGAAGCTGGTTATGTCGGAAAGCGACTATGCGATGTGGAAAGAAAGGGCTATTAAGTATAGACAGACAGACTAGCTAGAGGGAGTAAGAAAAGGGTCTAAACAGGACCAGCCAGTGGATACGAAGCCATTATTCTCCACAACACGGGAGAGGAAGGAAAGGAAAGGTAATTATTCAACGGTGAGGTGCTGCTGGAGGGAGGGGTGGAGGGAAATAAGAGTGGGAAAGATGGAAGATCTTAGGAGGAGTAGTACGTAGTAGCTTCACTTGCTTCAAAGCCGCTGCAGATGGAGCAAATGCGACCTTCGGCACGAGACGATGTGACCCTGCTGAATCAATCCGAGCAATGACAGCCTGAGACATCGTGTGTGGTTGACGACAACTGTGGATGACTCGGATATTCTCCGGCACTGGTTAGATTAACACCTTTAGTGGTAAATATGCTCTCTTCATCGTTTAGCATATTGTTGATTGTTTGATTGATTGTTGATGTTTCCTTTCATACCAGTTCTCCGCCCTCCAGTACATCTTCCTCATATTGATGCCTCTCCGCTTGACAGTACCAACTCACAACTCCTCCATCTACCCCTATGATAATTTGTTCTATCGCCAGACTTTCATAAGGAAGTCAACTCTGGACAGAGCATTACCCTCGCCTTCACGACCCCGGAGCACTGGCCTCCTTGAGTGTGGTCCCACTGGTTCGACACATCCTTCTGTTTCTCCATTTAAACGACGGTTGAAAGCCAATAAAGCACGAGACGAAAAGAAAAAGGAATATAAAACTTTAAATCGCCGGCAATACTAGATATTTACGGAGCAGTCGAGCTACTGCTCACTTGAGACTGGCTGCGGGACACGAGCACGGATTATCTATATCAACCCAAAGAAGCCATGTGGTAGTAAACGGTGGGTCTCCTTAAAATGATGCAGACTTACAATCAGTACACCGTACAAACTGCGACCAGTCTCCAAATTTCTTTTCATCCACTGATCTGTAAGACCGCATTGAGACTAGGAATCGAGTCTCTCTATCTTCGAACCTCAAAAGACTGAGTACCCCGAATCGCCAGGGTACCCAGGGCTTCTACATGTGGATCACAATGGCGCTATGATTTAGGTCCCTGATGAAACATGCTATTCCTGAGTGACAACTGACGACTCCCGATCGGTTCTTTTTACTCTTTGCCCTAAGCCCATTCATGGACGTCTTAGCACCACGTTCAAAAATCGACTGGCTCTCTTGTCGGCTTGCGATTTGAGAGTCCTCGTTCCGGTCGATAGCAATGACAGTGATCACATTAGGTACCAGTTTGGCAGTAGCGATGTTCACGTCCGCATAGACTACGTATCACGCTTCTTGGTGTCTAGGCTAGACCCTGCCCAGACTCCGAGATCGGAGTGACGTTGGTGTTATCGAGCCGACGGAGTTGGGCCAACTGTCCGGTGACATCTGCGACAGGATGCGCACATCTCGTTGCATACTTTGAGATTTGGGGATGAGCAGCCCACTATTATTGAATACCATCATGAGCCATTCTGATACAGTCCCCACTGAAGCTGGTCACCATAGGCGACTCTCTCAGCTTATCGACCTTCTGTCCAGTATGGTCAATGATGTCGCGCCTTGCTAGTCATGAGAAGCATGATCACAAAAAGTGCAGATGTACCGTGTTAAGCAGTAGCGACAACCTTTAACGTCTAAAAGAACTGCAAAAAGTCTGAGCGCTGAAGCCAGCGGAGTGGTACTGGAGCCATTCGGAAATGCCTCGGGCTTTGGCTTAACCGATGCAAGCTACAAAGAATCATTGTTCTCCATGAGTCTCGACTTTTGCAAGGATGGTAATCTGGGTTTCGGCCATTCCGATATGTCCTAGTCAATATCTGAGCGTACTAATTACTACGAACATAGCAGAGACAATCCTGGCCAGACACCTTCCCACACGCCCCTTGATGTGGTGACCTCGGATTGGGAAGCTGTTTTCTGATATGGTGCTGATCTCAGAGTAGATGATTTCATTTGAATGCCCTTTTACGGTGCTAGGCAGAGCACTGAAGGTTTATTATAATGGGATCCATAACTGGTTGCTGGATTGAGCAGGGATGATTTAGCCGAATGCTCGTATACGTGGGCTCAAGCCAAGGATCTAGCTGTCTATAGGGCGTCAAACGATGCCGATAGCTCCAAGCCTCCAACGATCTCGAGATATCCCTTCGCTTATGGGAACCATCTCTCAATGCGTATCTATTGCTATTTGTTGATCACTAATACCGCTTGTGTCAGCAAGCATGACAGTTGGGCTTCTAACTTGTGTATCTACCTTGTGCTACCTACTGGTGAAGTCGATAAGCGAAAATGTCTTTTTCTTTTTTACTAGAGAGGTAGAGGCAGCAATCAGTGTTGCATGACGGTCTAATGAGAGATGGAGGACTTCTCCTGCCTCTTGGTTGCTCTGATGAGCCAATCCATGGCCTGTTTTCGGCACTATTTCGGCCGAACTTGACATGAGACGATGGATCTGCAGATAATGTCACTATTATTATTGCATAAGGTGTTGGGTGCCCTGGAGCAGGCGACGTAACACTTGAGCCAGGGCCTTAGTTACGAATATTAAGGTATGCATTAATCTAAACAGATACAACGTTGCAATCTCAAGATATGACCGCGAACAGGGGTATGTATCATTCAAGCATTGGATGCCTATTGATAGTTGTGGCATCTGGCCTCTAGCTTATTCGAACATTCCAAGATGAAGATGTTGATGTTGCCCCTGCAATTGCCAAGAAATAAGATAGTTGAAGATCGAAGGATCCACGAACAGAAAGGTTGAGGCTTGCAGTCTTGAATCATGAGATATGCGTACAGGAGTCGGCAGTTAGCGGTTGGTCTAATAATAGTGAATGTGGTAATGGTCACCTTGCAACGCCGCTAATTAGCTCTAGGCGCTGAGTGTGCTCACAACTCTGTGCTCCCGTCCTCAAGTGACGCTCTCTACGGGCCTCCACAGTCACATCGATCGATTAGTTAACCCGTCAATGACCCAGCTTCCCCCACAGCCTCCGAATCTAACCTCTTCCCCGCATCAATCATAACATACCTGTTGATAAGGGTCGGTGAAGTTCGGATAGTTATGGAGAAGGTACAGTTTCAAGATCAGAAGGAAGGTCTCCATGATCTTGGCGCGATCGAATCTGCTGAGGCTGCCTCCAGCCATTCCCGCCGCGACCGACCAGCATCACATTTCCTGCGACGTTCCTTAATGGTCATATCGCTTGGATTCGTCCTTTTTAGTGTTCTCAGCTGGTTCCCTACACCTATCCCTAGATTCTTCTTGCATTCATGTCATCCTTCGTCGAAAAGGCTGGATGATGGCTTCTCTGCTTCGCCCTTCATGAGGGGTGATGTGGTGCCGCTGATGGAGCACAAGCCTGAGGCATCAGTGATTGACAACAAAGTTCTGCTGGAAGCTCACGTCATGAGCAAATGCCCAGACGCCCGTGATTGTCTGCAAAAATTGGTAGTTCCTGCCATGGAGCAGATCAGTGACAAAGTAGACTTCGGTTTGTCATTCATCGCAAGGTAAGCTAGTGCAAGACCTTCCTGCCCGGAAGACGCAACTGGACCGCAGGCTAAGCAAACTACAGTGTATCCAACAAATCTGCCGATGTAGTATGCAAACATGGTCCTGCTGAATGCATAGGCGACATGCTCATTCTCTGTGCTGCGAATCTCCCTTTCCCACCGGAGGGACGAAGCATGCTTCGCACCCCAACGATCCGCTCCCTGGGCTTCGCCAACTGCCTGATCAGTTCCTATGAGAAGATCCCAGAGCGCTCATTTGTCGAGCAATGCGCTTTGGAACATGGCATCGATTTTGATGCCTTGAACGAGTGTGCCAGCCAGCAGGACGATGACCCTGGCCATCACGGAGGGGACAAGGATCCCCTCAGCGGTATCGCGCTGCTCCGCAAGAGTGCCCTGTACAGCGAGGCGCTTGGTGTCAGAACTAGCTGTACCGTCCGGCTAGATGAGCAAGTGTGGTGTGTTCGTGACGACGGCGTGTGGAAAGACTGTGCCCAAGGAGGAAGAGGTAGTCAGGTTTCTGTGCTTGTTGAGGAGATCGAGAAGATTTATAGAAAGCGGAATTAAGCAATGGCTCGCGAATGACCTAATGTTGGAATTGACTTGATATTTTGCCTCAGGGTCCATCATGACCCATTGCAGTTTGCACTAATCCCATAATGCTATTGTTACTTCTAGGATACGTTTTAACTCTTCTGCATTGCTCTTTTTTACGAGACGAAATTATATCTTTGAAAATGATGCTTTCACATTCTCTATTGACTCTTCACATTGATTGAAAGGTCAGGCAATAGGTACACTATCAATGCAGTCAATATCTCTGAGTGAGCAATATAAACAATATGAGCTAGAAAGACGTTTATTTGACCAAAAGGTCCTGATAATCCTTTTTAGGAAAGTGTCCCCATTGACAGAGGTCTGCCTTCAAAGACATCTGTTGTGTAAGGTCTTGACGGGCAGGCTCTAGAGCATTGGAGTAGATTGCTCAATAAGGATGGGTCCCAGGGCTTCGTCTCATTCTTCAGTCCAGGTCAATTGCATCTGCTTTCTCCCACTAGCCATGTGTGAACTGTGAGAAACACATCTTGTCTGTAAAGCCTTCTTTTGCTTTCCACAGCCACCAAATCTCTCCTTTCATCTCCTACCTTAGCTACGACATCAACACCGCACTCATTCTGTTTCATGGAGCTGGTCTTCATCTAATTTTTCGTTACTTTCAATCAGACCTGTTCTCATTGCTCCTCTAGACTCACCAACCAACCTTCCCTAAGAGCATCTCTAAACACAATGGCTTCATCCTGGATACCAGAAGACTCGTCCCCTAAGAGCAGCCGCCGTAGGGGAATTAACCTGCAAAAGAAGGTTGATGAGCTCGTGCACAAATACTTCAAGGTCAAATGTCCCAGTCCCGTTCTCCGCGATATCCTCAGAAGCACTGAGAAATCCGATCTCCTCGTCAGCGCTGTCCGACTTCAGGTTTCGCTGGCCAGATGCCGCTCTCAGGACTTTAATGATGGTCAGGTCACCATCTACGATAAAGCTCTGTTGACGCTGTCCAAAAATGGAGACGAGCCTGCGGAACTGAGCGTCCTTGAGCTCTACCTGACTGAGTATCTGGGGATTGTGCCTATTGCCAACACTTCGCACAGTCTGAATGTGGCCACTAAGCGTCTTGGGCTGCATCGAGCTTTGACCAAAGGTTTGTCCACAGTAATTGTTATCTAGTTCTTTATTCAATCATCCTGACTTGCGTGTTTGATGATTTCAGCGCCCTCATCGATGTTTTTCAACGCGGAGTCGCCCAATTCTGAAGAGCCTACCCTCAAGTTGGATGGGCAAGTCCCTGCCATTACCACCAGCAGCAGCGAGCCGACAAAGGAGTCTGGCCTTCACTCGGAAGATACCAAAGGTTTGTCCGAAGACCTTCGCGAAGCAAAGCCTGAAGGAAAAAATGTTGTCCCCGATAAAGCGGATACACGGAAACATGATTGCGAGAACAGGCGGAATGAACGAGCCCGCATGGCCGGCAAAGAGCCTATGAATAACTACAATTCCGGCAAAGCAGATACGAAAGCTTCCCTGAAAAGAAAGAGGGACGACGAGAGCGTCCAGAGTCGAGTGGAGCGGCTTCTTGACGTCTTCTTCAAAGCCAGAGATGAACACATCAACAGAAGACGAAAGGAGACAGAAAGCGATCTAAACACTGTTCGATTTGTACGAGACTCAGCCGAAAATGCTCTGACATACCTCCGTGCCAACAATATGAAGGACCATGAGGCTATTCCGGACCTTGAAAAGTGGTTTGCCATCATGAGAGATAAAGCTACTGCTCTTACAGGTGGTCGAGGGCGCCATTTCGATGAGAAGCCTCCCCCGGCTCCCAGATTCTTGCGCCCTAAGAAGCGTTCACGGTTCCTGATGGACTCTTACAGACCTCGGCGGTGGAGTCCCATGGTTCCTGAAGGTGATGCCTCTTCTTAACTCATGGTTCGTCAATCAATCGTCCGTCGCATCGACGTTTGAATGTTGACTATTGAGTCGCAGTTTGAGAACCGGATTATTCTCAGGCCACTGTCAATGACCAATATCCGAGACACGACGTGAATCAAAGGCTGGCCCTTCTTCGTCCACAGCTCCGTGATGAGTTCTGGTGCCCCGATACTTTGATAGAGGATGCCGGTGGATCTTAGCCGTGCAGCATCTGTCCTTGGCGCAAATCATCTCTCCTAGTGTGTGCCACGTGCACCGCCTTGTGCCTGTCTACCCCTGTACTTAATCCCACCAGGTTTAGACCTCCAATGTCAGATGATCTTACGATAAGTGCTAGATTTTGGTGCATCACATTTCTCAGATATCTCTGCTTGGCTGCCGAGATTCCCCTAGAAAGGAAATGGGTCCTTGAGCCAGAAAACACGGATATTTCATACATTGATTACTCCGTAGATGGCCTCCTATCATCTGCAGCCGACCGAGGCAGCATCCTATAGCTCCAGCACAGGGACACCGGCTAGCGCGCGGTATACGCCAGATTCCAGAGCATCCGACAATGAAAATGCATCGTCGAGTTCCGAACGGCCACCAGCTGGGTCGTTGAGATTGCAAACGGACTTTCGCGCAGAAGCGGACTACATTTCCGACGATGAGGGCCAAGATGAAGGCTACGATTCGTATGACGACCAGGAAGCGCAGGCCAAAAGGGCCGTAGTCGATACAAAGTACACGGCAGCGGAAGAAAAGCAAGTCGTGAAGAAGTTTGACCGCAAGCTGGTTCCATTCTTGGCCCTTCTCTACCTGCTCTCGTTCCTGGATCGTTCTAGTGAGTTGTTCACTGTTTCGGAACAGTACATCAAATAGCTGACTGCTTGCAGATATTGGAAACGCAAAAATCGCTGGACTCATGGATGATTTGCGTCTTTCATCTTCACAGTATGAATGGCTTTTAACAGCTTTCTACATCACGTATATTCTCTTTGAGTGGATGACCCTCATGTACCGGATCGTTCCTCCGCACATCTACATCTCCCTGTGTGTATGCGGATGGGGTCTCGTTGCATCCTTTCAGTCACTGGCTACTTCATTCAGCACCCTCGTGGTTCTGCGAGCCTTTCTAGGCATCACGGAAGCGGCATTTGGCCCTGGCGTGCCGTTCTATCTCTCCTTATTCTACAAGCGGGAAGAACTCGCTTTACGAAACGGACTGTTTATCTCAGCGGCTCCCTTGGCGACTTCGTTCGCGAGTAGTCTCGCATGGCTGATTGTCAAGGTCAGCAGCAATGGCCCCATTGCACCGTGGCGGACGCTCTTCCTGGTCGAAGGATTTCCCAGTGTGCTTGTTGCGGTCTTTGCGTGGATACTGATCCCTGATTCGCCTGAGAGCGCTCGTTTTCTTGAGCCTAGAGAGAGAATGGTAGCCAAGCTGCGGCTGGGAGAGACCAGGTCCGACTATCGTGGGCCCGATTCCAGGCAGTTCAATTGGAGGGAAGTTGTCAAGGCGCTGGCGGATCCCAAATCTTATGTGACAGCTGTTCGTGGAAGCCATATCTCTCCAGCCTTGGGTTGAACTGACGTGCAGCTGCTATAGTTTATGTTCTTCAGCTGCAATGTCGCTTTCAGCTCCATGCCTGTGTTCCTGCCCACCATCATAGAAGAGTAAGCCCTGGCATGAGCAACCCGGTTGGTCAATACACTCACACTTTCACAGCATGGGCTACTCCTCCCTCTCCGCTCAAGCCCTCTGCGCACCTCCTTACCTCATCACCTTCGTGGTAGTCCTTGCAACAGCATACCTATCCGACCGGCACAGAACCCGCAGCCCCTACCTCATCGCCCACGCTCTGGTATCTTCACTCGCCTACCTCGCCATCGCAGCTACAGGCTACTACCATGAGTTCCTATCCACCGGCCTCCAGACCTTCATCCGATACGCCTGCGTCTACCCCGCGACGTCAGGCTTCTTCTCTGCCATTACCCTCATCATCACTTGGACGATGGACAACCGCCCCGCAAAGGAAGGCAAGGGAGCCAGCATGGCGATCCTCAACCTTATCGGGCAGTGTGGGCCGCTGCTCGGGACGAGGCTGTACCCGCGCAGTGAGGGGCCGTGGTACGTGCGTGGGATGGCGACGTGCTCTTTCTTCATGGTCGTGGTGGCTGTCCTTGCGTTCGTGCTGAGGGTTATGTTGCAGAGGGGGGATCGTGCAGCGGATCGGAAAGGAGATGCTGATGTGGAGATGGAAACGCGGCAGGTCCTTATGGATGGAAATCAGTTCAATCATAGTGTTGAAGAGAGATTTGTGAATATTTTATGAGACGAGGTCGTGTTTGCTGCTGCATCTACGAGTTGGGTTGCATGAAAGTCATGGTATGTATTTAGCCCAGATTAAATATTACTATTGATATGTTTGCTAAGAAGCGTAAACAGAAAGGAAGTCGCTTATAGTACAAGAAAAGGACAAGGACCATGTACTTTCGTCCCAATGAACCGATTACCCGAGGCATAAAAATACAGGAAGGAATCAGAAGACGCTTACTCCGAAACCGAAACCCGACAGTGAATTAAGATCGCCGAGCTCACCACGCAGTATGACCACCATCAATGATCATCGTGCTGCCTGTCATAAAGCTACTGGCATCACTGAGGGCGAAGAGCGCCGCACCCCTGAACTCCTCCGGACACGCCAGCCGACCGAGCATATTCTCCGCCTCCCAGGTGGCTTTTGCAGCCGGATTCTGCTCAAACACCTGCTCGACCATGGGCGTGAGGATGTGTCCCGGACAGAGACTATTAACCCGGATCCCCCGCCGGCCCCACTCCATCGCCAGGGACCGCGCGAGCTGGATCACCGCCGCCTTGGACGAGTTGTACACGGGCGAGGTCATGCCCTTGTTGGCGATGAGCCCGCTCATGCTTGCAACGAGCAGGATGGACCCCTTCTGCTGGTAATTGAACATCTGGCGGGCGGCTGCCGTGGCGGAGTTGAAGACGCCGTTGTAGTTGATCTGCATGACTTCGTTCAGGGCCGACTGGGAGTGCTCCAGGGCGCTCTGCAGGTGGTTGATGCCTGCGGCGGCGATGAGGCCGTCCAGTCGCTGATCGCGGGAGGCGATTTCGGCGAAGACGTCGTTGACCTCTGGTTCGTTGCGCACGTCGATGCGTCGGTATTCCAGGGCGCCGCCGTATTCCTTTTCGGCTTGGCCTTTGGCGGTTTCGAATTCGGGGTGTGGTTTCTCGAGGCGGTCTAGGCAGTATACTGGTTTGTGAGAGAGGTTAGCAGAGTGCTCAGACGTATCTGTTTGAGGTTGACGTCGAGGATGTATCTGTACCTTTGGCTCCGGCTTCCATCAGCGCTTCGGCCATGGCCAGCCCCAGGCCTCTGCCGCCACCGGTGACGGCGTAGACGCGGTCTGCAAGATCAAACTCTCTGAATCGATGCGGTCTCATCCGGGGAAGCTTTCTCTGGATGTGTTGCTCATTGGTCGTGGTAGAATATGTTGATCGTAGGCATGGATGAAGCGAAGTGCAGGGTAGCCATGACCGCGCTGCGGTCAGCGACCGCGTCAGAGTGAAAGACATGACTTGGTCAAAATTTTCTATAAGATTAACTGAGAACAAGGCGCAGAGATAGAAACAATTGACCAGGTAAAATGTCAAAAGACCGGCAGCATACAATCGCACACTTCAAGATTCTACATAACTCGAGATCTATACTAGAAGAGTCCTAAGTTTATACGCTTGAGACAGAAGCATGATATCACTATCGATACAGGTGAAGCAAGGCAGAGGGATAAAAAACAAGATGGCCTCGTGACGGCCCTGATGGAGTCTAGAAATTCTAGAGCTGCTTTCACGATGATACAATATGACCCAGACACAGGATCGCCCGGGAACAACCAGGGAACGATGACCCTGTAAATGCACTCGAGCCAGGATCGTGACTTTTGTTCGTTTGAAGTTACTTGATTGCCGAAGACGGTAAGAGACGTGATCAGTAGATCGAAGGGATGGAGACCGTCCATGTTTCTTCCTGGAATGGCCCACTTTAGCTGCACGGGATGTCCAAACCTGGGAGTCCGAGATACTGGGCCTGGAGATATTACTGTCAGGTTGATTCCTGTAAACCTCTGTATACATATCAACTATCGAGTCCTGCCCAGCAAGATGATCATGACTTGCGAAACTGTCGCTTGGGGATAACCATAGACTCCGTGCAATTCATCCTGAGCTCATAAGAGATCATAGATGGGTTACCGACCAGACCCAGAGAGTTGCCTTGATTTCTGCGGTGATGCGACTCATTGCTCGGTGGTGACGTAGAGTATTGCGAATTGAACTCCAGACTTTTTTTCCTGCCCCAGAAATGCCAAAGTGGAGCATTTGGAGCATTTCTGGAGTAATAAGATAAGAACTGAGAACTTGATAAGGCAGCATTTTATGTAGTAGCAGCTCTAGCTCTACCAGACATTCTGCGGAACGCAATACCCTCCAATCATCTCCCTCGGCTTTGGAGAGAGTAAGAGTACCTTATACCTACATAGCTTCTAGCACTTCTGGAAGTCTACAACAGGGAGTTCCCCATGAACGTCCTGCTGGGAGTTCAGAATTGAGAATTTCGCACCATGCTTAAGCTTCACAGCCCTTAGGGATTAGCAGAAGCCCCTACCGTTGCCGCTTTCGGCATGGTCGCCGTCTGGTAAACACGGCCCTGGACCACCTCTGGTATATACGGAGTAGAAGCCCAATTCACCCTCCCATATTCCCACCCCCTTTTCTCCGTTTCTCGGAAATTTTGCGCCTACGCTCTCCGTCAAGACGCCTCTACTTCCTACTTTCTTTCGTGCGGGCACACAGCCGGTATACCGTCCCAGGGCGGAGGGTCGTTGGCACATTGCTGCATGGGCATTTCTTTGCCCTGATGATGATCATGATAAGCATGCTACCCCTGTCATGGCGTCAGACACTATGCAATTCCCTGCGGCTTCGCATAGGTAGATAATGCCTGTCAAGCCCTTCTTGCCCAGTTTTCATGAGAGCAGCTTGTACAAACCAGTAGACTAGCATCAAATCCCCGCTAGGTAAATATACCTTATCGAATCCATCCATCCCGATCATCTTCGCCACAACCCAGTCATGTCCTCCTACCAACTCACCCCCGACGACCTCGACACATCCTTCGAAACCCCTCCGGCCATTCGGGCGGCTCGAAACCCCAATCCCGCCGTTCTCCAGGCGTTACTGGATTATTATCGGTCTGAGCTGCCTCATGTTGCGCATCTCGCTCCTCGAGACCGCGGCGGCCTCGAGCAATGCTCTCCTAACGCCGACATCACCGGCGCTATTGACGGCATCTACGAATCTCCATTGACAGCAGCTATTCGCGCAGACCTTCCCGACAATGTGCGTGCGCTCCTAGCGGCGGGCGCAAACCCCGCAGGCATCCGCCCTCTCTATCTGTCCGACTACTCCGTGCGCTTCGTTCGCGGCCGAGATGCAAAGACCGACATGTCGAGCTTTGCCATGTGTCCGCCGCGCGAGTCCATCCTCGCTGTCGCCGCGGCGAAAGGCATCCAGCATCAGACTCAGCCCTTAACTACCACCGAGCTGGACGAGCGCCGCTCCGGCTTTCCTCGTTTCTGGACCGAGCCAAATCTACCGGGCCAACGATTCCGCTCCACTAAGGCCTTGACGGCTCTCGAAGTCGCCGCTGCGTGCGGCCAAGAGCGAATGTTCAATCTGATCCGCGACGCCGGAGCAGATGAATCCGCCTGGACTCGGACTCAGCCTTCCAGTGAACGCGTCGACGACGAACCGTCGAACCAGGAGGTAACCCCATCGTCGATGTCGACCTCGTCGCCCGTCCACGAAGCCATCTCCGCAGGCCACCGCGCCATGCTCCATAAACTCCTCCATCAACATCACTACTCCCCAAACTACCGACCGCTAGCCGCGGCGCCGACACTGGCCCTTCCCCCGCTCTCCTACGCCCTGGCCTGCTGTGATCCAGACAATCCTAAAATTCGAGAATGTATTACCGAGCTACGGGACCACCCCGATCTCGATCCTCACCTCCGCACCCCCATCTTCGAAGTCCACCCGCTCCATTTTGCTGTCGCGCGTCATAGCCCGGACCTTCTGTCCTGGCTCGCCCTGCCGCTCCCGTCTGCGGGTACTACTGCCCTCGGACAGACGCTGCTTCACATCGCCTCGCTACCCCTGACATCCGAGGCCATCGACGATAAAAACCCCGACGTCGTCCGGAGCATTCATTGCGCTAGAACTCTCAATCTCGCCTGGTTACCGCATCCCTGGCCTAGTCCCTTGCATTTGCAGCCACAGCCGCGGTCCCGGCTTAACCCGCTGCGGCCCCGCGCGAGAACCCCATTGACGCCCGCCGAGCAGGAGGCCCAGTTGGAGACCCTGCGCGTCCTGGTCGATGCCGGCATTGATGTCCGCGCACAGGATGTCGATGGGAACACGGCCCTGCACTACCTGGCGGCGACCTTGAATGTCGACCCCCGCGCATTGCAGTTGTTAAGAGATATGGACGGCGGCGAGGAGGTTTACCATCACGTCTTGAATCGGGAGGGCTTGTCGCCGCGGGCCTTGTGGGAGGGTAGATCTGTCCAGTAAATTCTTGGGTATGTAGGCCATATATATCTGCCAACATAAAAGATCATAAAATCAGTAGCAAAGGGATAACATGCCTCATCGTATTCCCATTCTTTCTACGTACATGATCCAACCTCGATCCTTAATGGCATTCCGGAACTGTGAGGGTAGGGGTAGGCCAGCGGCCACCCTACCCTGTACGTGTCCTGTTGATATTGAAGGTTTCCTACCTTCTACTTATGCGTCTACCTTGACAATGAAGGAATGCGGGTTCAAAACGACTCTGCACATAGTGGTGATGACCAGGTAGGTATCTCTGTGCACTTCTGTAGACAGAAGAACTTCGCCATCTAAGGTACCTAGGGTAGTCCAGACAGCTTGGAAAGTTCGGTATCTGGTCGCCTTGTTACCCAAATCAGATTGCCCAGACGACATACATGTAGTGAACTTCGCGTGATGCGCTACTGTACAAACCAGGATTGCCGAGATGCTCGGCACCTTGCATTAAAGTTGACCCTCGGCCTCGTGGTATAGGATGCGCATCATAATTGACATAGCTCGAGTCGGTCTGCGCCACCTTGCCGAGCATTCCTGGACGAGTCGGCGAACGTTCAAAAGAGATCTGTCTGGTCCAGCAGTGTCGACGTCTAGAAACGTCTGTCTCACTTTCTCTTGTCATAGTTTCGATCGGGTTTTCGGGGTTTCCTTGTGTTGTTCGTTCGTGCTTGCGTGTAGCTGTTCCTGCTGCGGTCCTGCGGACTTGAGATGGAACAGATTGAGGTACAGATTCACTTGAGTGTTACCTTGGGCCGATCTCAATGGTGCTTTAAGTTGCTTTCGCCGGCACTCTCGTTGTCGCGCAACGATGCCAGAGGGAGAAAATATGATTCACCTGAAAGTCGATAAGACCTGACAGATTGGTGATGGGTGATGATGGACCAGACAGAGCTGCAGCATCTAGAAATAGAAGATTTGCACAAACAGGCCATCTACACCAGCCAGTAAGCAGGTATTGGTTCATTATTCAGCCAGGGTGAAGGTCCATCATGCCTAAGCAAATTAGATTCATATCGGAGTTATCGGATTCGAGGCGCTCTCTGGGCATAAGTAAAGCACACATGACTGGCCGTCTATCTCATACATTCATAGCAAAATGCGCTCCTATACCTCCATAAAGGGACACAGTCGAGGAATGACAGGGTTAATATGGATCAGTATACTCAGCAGAAACGCCCAGCGCAGTGGTGCAAACCAGCGATCAGCTCTGAGTAGAAAGAATGGACCAGCGTGCAGTCTACTCCATATCAAAGGAGTCGCCTAGCACAGGAGCTGTAGTTCCGAGGCTTCCATTGGCATGCCCAAAGTCCAGCTTCATGAGAAGTTGATCCACCCCAGCTGTTTTTCGCGGCAAGTATTGGCAGATTTGAGCGTTCACGCCGCTGCCATTCTGTCTGTCAGAGAGCGGAGTAGCGCGGGCATGCTTTACAAGGTCAAACATCTTTCGTCCCTCTCCCGATCGACTGTCATCAATGTCTCGCAGGCGAGCGACGACGTCCCTGATTCCCCCTTCAACCTTCATCCGCGCGGTCCTTAATGCTTCCAATAATTCTGTCTCCTCCCTGGGGTAGTCGGCCAAGGCGTCTACCACACCTTCGTCTGTTTCCAAGTCCATATTCTTCTGGACACTTTCTAGGCGAATAATAAGTGCGATAAAATGATCAATCAAGCTAAGCAGCGAGCGAAGGGCCTCGGTGAATGGTTTATCTGTCAAAAACAGTGACTGAACAAGTGAAGATAGATAGCGACGATGGGCGACTGTCAGAGTTTCGGGATCAAGTCGTTGCGGCGCAGCGTGACTTGATTGATCGACATCCACTCTGCCCTCAATCGGACTGTCGCTATACCTGCTCTTCAGAGATGCAGATGTTCCAGGTCGAGAGCTCGTCGAGGACGTGGCAGTGGCCAGTCCACCTTGAATCCACTCACGAAAGTGCTGCCAGCAGCCATTGACAACTTCACCCTGGAAAAAACTACCAATTTCTGATAGGACGAAGAGCGCAGCACTACTCGTTGCCCATACTGGTCTCATTTGACTAAGTCGGATATTGTCTCTCTGCCTTCCCAGCTTAAGCTTACTCTGTCCAAAGGGAGTGTTGCTTCGTGGTGGGCCCCATGGAGAAGGATAACTTTTTCGGAGAAAAGAGTGCTTCCAGAGATCATTTATTCGTATTTGCGCACGTCGAATGCCCAAAAGATATGAATGAATCCTTGAGTAAACAGCGATATCGGACGTCGATAGAAATAGGTCAAGGGGCGCACGTACTTCTACCGAGAGGGAAGTTCGCGTTGGAAAAAGTAGGTCCTCAAATGAGACGTCCGAGATCTCCGCTACTAGATCACTTCCAATTTCGTCTGAGAGCGGTGCAACCGTATGTCCACTCTTACTGTCAGTGATGGATAAGCGAACAAGGTCTCGGGCAAGATCAAGAGATTCATCCACAGGGTCTTCCTCGTTTTGTAGAGAATAAAGCTCGGCCCATGTGTGTGCCAGAGCATGTATTACATCCCCATCTTTGACGACAAGTCCTTCAAGCTCCGTTTGCGCTCTGACCCGGCGAGCGAGGAGGGAGGGTCTTCGATGTCGCTCAATCAGTCTGGCATCAGCATGAGACACAAGCGCAGTAGCGAATTCACCGCGCCCCAGTAGAAGAAAATCATGCAGCACAGAAAGAATCTCGAGGATCTTGGGTAACGGCAGTAGCTTCGAAATTACACTTTGTGACAAAGACAAGCGGATAGAATCTACCGCGTTGGATAGTTTTGAGGCCGATATTGGGGATCCCAACGACGCGAGGTGCGCAATATGCTCTCCCTGAAGAGTTACTGACGGTGCCGCAGAATCAGACGATCCCGTTGTGGCACCTTTCCGCTTCGCCGTAATATGATTCAAGGTCTTCCCGATAAATAAGATTGACGACGCCGTGTGCAATGAAACAAACTTTGGGAGTAGGCTTGTCTGCATCACAAAGTTTGCAATGGATGACGAATCATCCATTTGGCTCGAATTATCCTTCTGAATAAAAAAGTCATCCTTTCCAAAGATCGGAAGATTTCCATACAGTAGCCACGTCGATAGCTGCCTCATCCACGCAGATTCGGCCACAGTGATCAGGTGCAGCGCGATTTCTTCGAGGTCAAGATAGCCCGTTTGGGATTCTGTTCGAAGGTAATCAATCAAGGCGGAGCCTGTACAACCATGTGCACTACTAGTCCTGTTTTCGGGAAGAACGAAGCGGGTAACCTCCCAAAGCCATTCTAATCGCCTCGTCCAAGGCGAAAACTCCCCAACGATGGTTGACAATGGTACGATGCCATAACCGCCAACATATGCACTATCCTCGGCCAAAATTGCCTTCTCGACTTCCAAGATCTTCCTCTGAAAACCTCCTAGATGATGTGCGTTTATAGCTGAGGAAACAGCACGGCAGATGATCGAAGGATGTGAGGACGATATCAGAGACGTGTGTTCTCGAAGTCTGGCATGGAGTCTACTCAAACGGGCGAGCGATGTGAGGAGGGCTTTCTCCGGAGGGGACAGTGGAAAAGCATTCTCAGGGACGACATCTTCTTCTGAACTGAAAGCGAAAAGAGGGGACGGTTGGCCTGAGAGTGAGAGTAGGATCTCGTGGAGCATTCTGCCTGGAGTCCACTATCTCAAGGTTAGAGGAAGTGGCCTAAAGAGCGTTGTGCCTACAAGTATGACCGACCTTGATGATGGCTTTCTATCTGCTTTGGACTTTTGACGCTGCCAATACAGTAGTCCTCGGCCCAGAAGCTCGTAGCGACACATAAAAGTAGAGTCAAGTGCGTGTCCTGAAACTGAGTTTCACGCGTCGTCGGAGACTGATGTGACCGCGGAGATTGTGGAGGAGCCAGATCAATGTCACTCAAGAAATGAGTGTGGGCACCGCTGGGTTGAGTCAACCATCCAGTATACGCATCATGAACTTATGGCAGCCTGAATCCACCCTTGCAGCTGTCATCACCATCACTCCTAGGTACTTTTCCTCTTCGTCAGAGGTTCCACTGGCAATGCTTCCTTATCCTAGGTCCTCCTCGCGGGGCTATGGCCAATCACAGCTCAGGAACTGCTGAGTCAGCCATCAACAGCTTGTCCCTCTTACGTCGCCAACTGAGAGAGACATCCTTCTTGCCTCTTTGCTTGGGTCATCCACGATTCTCTGCTTTGTAAATCCATCATCTACCTTGCCTGTTCCAAATTTTCCAAGACGACACATTTTTGACTTCGACTGAAAGCTTTGCACAGTTCCTTCTAGCCGTACTTACCACCTCGAGCGACGTTCAAAGCGCTCCCGCATTTCTTTAGTCTGCACCAGGAGTGGTAGACACCAGTTAATACTGCTAGAAAGTCTTGCTCGCAGGCAAGACTTTCACCTATAATCCTTCACAATTCCTTCAGAACTACCTGTTCGTGACGCTGCGAAGCTGGCAAAGCGTAGAGCGTCCTGCGACCAAGCAGCAACTCCGCCTGAGAAGAAGATCATGACGGTATGCTATCTCATCAACGATCACTGATCTTGTATGGCACGGAGAGAGTACTGAGTATTTATGCCTCTAGGACTCCAATATGCAGCTTGATAACTCCCAGGAAACAGTGGAGAAGATCAAACAGGGAGAGATCGATGAGTCACTGTACAGTCGTCAACTGTATGTTGATCCCAGTCCGCCTTAATGGAATTCTCTAATATCTATTGGTTTATAGGTACGTCCTCGGCCATGAGGCTATGAAGCGTATGGGTTCTTCGAACGTTCTTGTTGTTGGTCTGAAGGGTCTTGGTGTGGAGATCGGTGAGTACAATACCTGGTTTGAGTAGTACGGTCGACGACTGACGACCTCTTTCAGCCAAGAACATTGCCCTTGCCGGTGTGAAGTCCCTCACGCTATACGATCCTGCCCCAGTCGTTATCTCCGACCTATCCTCACAGTTCTTCCTTCAACC